AGAAGCCTAAGTCAAGTGTTTGACTAGAAAATATTTTTGAGAAAATTATCTTTTAAACCCAAACTATTTTAAATAGCAAATCTAGCCCATGGTCCATGGAGTATGGTGGACCACAAACCATCCAAAACAATGTCTGATGCATTCTTCCTGCCAAGTCCTATTTACAACCTTGCCATCCACTAATCATAGGGAATCCTCCTAGGATTTTGCACCACTATAAAATGATTGGCAAGCTCATCCCATTTCCCTTATTCCATTCTTAGCTTCCCATTTTCAGCTGCAACAAGAAGAAAATCACAGTAAGCTTATTCTTCAACCTTTCCATCCATTCATCAGCTTTCTTCTATCTTTCTCTTAGCTTTTTCCTCTGAGGTCTTGTAGTGAGTAGTGTGTGGTTTGTTTGAGTTGTTTAGGAGGTGAAGAATGGGATATCTAGCTTGGGAAGAAGGTGGAATCCCAGCTCAAGGAAGAAAGCTTCAAAGGTAATGGATCCCCAATCTCTTTTTGACTCTGTGAAGTCACTGTTATGTAGATAGAAATGTGTATAAATGCTAGCATATCGTGTGTTTGAGCTATTAGATGACTTGTTGATGTTGTATGATGTGTTGTTGATGATTTGGAAGTGAAAAATTGTCTGAAAATGCTATACAGGTGAAGAAGAAGCCTCTGGTGCACAACACAGTGCGCACCAGCTAGATTCACGGGCCTAGCCAACGGCCCACGAGGGGAGCCGCTGGCTAGAGCGGTGACGGGACGGCCCTAAGGCACAGCCCTAGGCCGCCGCCGGGCGGTCCCAGGCGGCGGGGCTCCTCTAGCCCCACTGCAAGCTCCGTTTGGTTTTGTCTGTACAGTGGCCGGGCCCTTGTGGCTCAACTACGTGTCGTTTGAAACCAGGAGTCGCGTGCCCTTCTGGCTCGGAACCTTGGGCCGTCACGACGCACGTTTGGACTTTGATTTCGTTGAATTTGGTTTAGAAATGAGCATTATATGATAAATTTTGTGAAGCAATGGTGTTACCGACTTGTTCCAATGAAAGAAAATGAGAAGTATCAGACTTGGTTTTGCCTATGTGAGCTGTATGATGTTATTTTATTGTTAAATTGAGAAGCATGATCACTAATTGATTTAATTTTGTTAGAAAGGAATGCCTAAAGTGTATGTTATGATTCATAGAAATTATTTGTCAAGTTATGAATTTTCAAGCATGATTAAGTATTCTTTAAAAAATTCACAGTAATACAGAATTGAAGTATGTTGTACAGTAAATTGCATTTCAAGCATGTCATGTTTTAAAATGCATAAGTGGCCAACGTGAGCCTAAGTATTATTTTCCAAAACTCATGAGCATGTGGAAAGTCATTATCTTGTTGCATTGAGAATTTGTTGAGAAGTGAGATGCATAAGTGTGCATAAGTAGAAGAGTTGCCTGAGATATATATGCTATCTATATAAGTGAGGTTTTGGAGGACCCCGCTGGGACTATGTCCTTTCAAAGAGGAAGTAATGAACATTGCGATCTAATGACATGTAACGCGGTGTTTTCCCACGTTACGAGGTTGGAAACTTCCCGCCAGGCTTGGAATCCTGGTCAGGGGGTGTGCACGCTGATAGTTCGATACCTGATTCCACAGAGTTTGAGAATAGAACCAAGAGAGTGGTTCGGTGGACGTGATGAGTATTAGGCCGGCTAGACGCCGTGCCCGGATAGGTTCGTTCACGCTACGGTGAAGTTCCTACCTCGTCCATTTGTAAAGAAAGTGAGTCATTGCGACTCTAAGAATGAGTCATTGCGACTCTAAGAAAGCGAGTCATAGCGACTCTAAGAAAGAAAGAGCAAGTGAGTCCTTGTGGCTCTAAGAAACCTCCACAGAAAAGTATTATATTTACAAACGAGTGTATATGTACATCTATGTATATTTATTCTATAGCATCTTATTGCATTTGAGTATAGTATTGCACGAGATTGCATATCAAGAATGTTTGCACTAGATTGCATATCGAGAATGTTTATGCGAGTGTGTATGATATGTATATGATAGATCATATGATGGATATTTGATTGCACTTAATTGCATGATGAGAACTTGATAGCATGGGATTATTTGTTAAGCTTATGTGTAAGCATGAGATTGTTTTTGAGTTGTTATACAGGGTGGAGTTTTGCTATGTTAAGTATGCAATAGTATGAGCATGCTGTTAGGTTTGATATCGTTGAAGTATGTCTATTTGATATTTTAGGTTGTGAGCATATAAAAAGCCTTGTGGTTTATATTAATGTTTTGTCTAAGTGATTGAGATTGCTTAATTTGGGAATGTGAACAAATGTTTTTCCAAAGTATATACTGTAGTATTTTACAGGGTTGAGTGGAGTTATACTTAGCTTCTGTTAACTAGTGTTTTCTATTTGTCTATTTGTAAAACCCCTTTCAGGTGGGCCCAGCTCTTGAGAGTGCTCGAGTTAGACTAGTGTAGTTAGTTGCTATTAGTCTAAAACTCTATGATTTATTATTGATGTTTTTGAGATTATAGATGTAGACATCTGTTCTTTTGTTGGTGATAGACACCGGGGTATTTTCCCCCAAGTTACTTTAATGTAATAAATTCTAGATAGTTAGTACCTTTTTAGCTTGTGCAGTCACCGGGTACGGTGATTGTGGCGGTGACATCCCTTTGTTTTGATGCTTAGTAAATTAATGTGATTGATTAGTTGCGTTATTTAAGTTAAGCGTTTAATTATAAGGTTTTGAAATTTGCGGTGTTACAATCTCCTAGTCCTCGATTGGTTTTCTACCTATATCATCAAAGTGTTGAAGGCACCTCTTGGATGAATGAAGATGGCTTGTACGTTCAGTCCATTGTGGTGACGTAGGGATTTGTTGGGATAGTGTAGTATATGATGTAGTGTGTATTGAACTCTCCCTTCTACTCCTTGTTGATCATCTAGTGGATTGGACTGACGTGAGTGCCCCGCAGACGTAGGAGTGAGGCTCAGAATTGCGTGAACATATCCTGGTGTCTGGTTCCTCTTTTACTCTTGTTCTTATTCGTTTTAATTCTTGCACAAAACCTAGCATTACTCCAAACTAATAACGGAATGTAAAAATAAATAGAAACCTTAGGAGAAAGTCTTGCATTCAAGATACATGCACTTTTTCAAGTATAATTAAATAAAATTGTACATTTGATATTAGTTATAATTTTTGAAGTGCTTAATCCTAACACCACCATTCAACAATACACAAGTATATATCATTCCCAGGGCCGGTCCTGGCCATGCCGGCCCGGCGCGACCGCATAGGGCCCCCAATTTTCGGGGGCCCAATTTTTTTTTAAAAAAATATTATAGATATAATCTATTTTTTTAATACTTGATAATTTTTGAATTCATAGATTGGTCTTAATTGTAATTGAAAATAAAACTTTAAAATGAATTAACATTGAAATTTTGGTGAATAATTTTGTATTTAAATATGAACGAAAAATGGCACGATTAAATTAACTTTTGAATTGTATTATTTCTTTGTTAAAATTTTATGCCTTATATTTGGACAAAAAAAATTTAATTACATTTTTATTTTTGTTATAGAATACAAAAACTTGGAGTTCAAATGAATTTGAACTCAATTACATAGAGATTTTCTAGATCTCTAAACATCTATTTTGCAATTTAGGTTTTTGGGGATTATGTTCCTTACATTTATAAATAGAAATCTCTGTCATTATAGCGAAATTTAAGTATTAAAAAAAATCTTTTTCCCTATGTTTTTATCTATCTATTATTATCTTTGTCTATTTACTATATTATATTTAGATTGCATCTCGTAATAAAAACAATGAAGGTCCAAATTAAATAATTAAACAGGGCCCCTATATTTAATGGAACGGCCCTGATCATTCCTTAACCAATTTACACCTGAAATTCAAAGAAAACAAATTATACAGAATAGAATTGATGGAAAAAATTACTCGTAGAGTCGTAGATAAGAAAATGCTATTAGAAATTTTGCATTCCAATCTAAAAGTACAGTTAAAAGGTATAATACTATAATCATGTTCCATTATATAAAAAATATAAATATATCATTGCAACTTTCCGTATGGGGAATGTGGCACTTTAAGAGTTTTAGGCATAGAATTCTCCGTAATCCCTAACCAGAAGATATGCATTTTTGGGAAAATTTTTACAGTATCATGTACTATAATTAATGTTGTAAAAATCTATTTAGGCGGTTGCCTAGGCGTCGATTAGGCACTATATAGGTTGATGCGATTTTAGCCCTAGGCGGTTTTTAATCAGCTGACCGATTAACTGGCTGACTAGGCACCGACTTGGCCGAATTGAGCGCCTAACTTGACCGAATTGAGCGCCCAATTAGGCCGAGTTGAGCGCCCAACTAGATCAAGTTGAGCGTCTAACGAGGCTGAGTTGGGCGCCTAACTCGGCCGAGTTGGCGCTTCACTGGTCGAGTGGTTTTTTTTGCCTACTCGGCTAGACGGCTACTCACCTTCTCTATTTCTCCAACCATGTACTCAACTAACCATATAACATATGCAATATATTGACTAGTTTGAGAGATTATAACAGTCTAACAACTGAGTGGGAAAAATACGTGGAGATGATATATTCGAATACAAGGCCGCCTAGGCGCTAGGAGCCCCCAAGCATCCGACTAGCGCATAACACCTTCTTCAGCATTGACTATAATACAATCATCTAAAAATAATAAGAATGTCAAAACTATTACAATGTATATTAATCTATTAATGTTAGGCCGATGCTTGAGAGCTTAGTTCAACATCTTACCATTAAAATGTAACATTAACTGTTATGTAAATATAAAAAAAATGAAATTTCATTGAAATGTGACGCTGAGGGTTATACATGTATAAAAAATAAATAAATAAATAAAATTACACATCAGCTACTAGCTAGAGTTTTTGACTTAATACTAATCAGATCAGAGTATATCACAGGTTGGCTGGTAGGGCTAAGAAATCATTTAAGCCCCCCAAAATCTGCTGCAACTGAAGGACTCACAAAATGTTTGGAAAGCCAACATTGCTAGGGTTAAAATGAATGAAACAAGAGCTAAAATCTTCCATGAGACATCTGCATTTTTCTTCATCCTCCTATACAACCTCACAATCATCCTCCTATCATAGTACTCATTCACCTTCTTGATGGCAACCTCAATGTTGGATCTCTTATCTGGTTTCGTGAAAAACCTTTTCATACCATTGAAAAGGTCCGCAGTTTCTTGGTCACTGAGAGTAGAAGTGCCCTTGATGACCCCATTTTGCCTAAGCATCCTAACATCCTCTGCAGTGTCCACAATCCCATTCATCAGATTCACGTACCTCGCGAATTCCAAGGTTGATTTGAGCATGGAAGCCTCGTATGCTACGAGGTTTCTCAGTATAACTTCCGAGCATGAGTTTAGAGTGATGACTGGGAGGTAAAGGGTGGCTTCGTGTTCGTCGAATTCGATGTTGCAGATGCTCCCTCCTTGCAGAATTGGTGAGCATTTGACACGAGCGTAGCGCCATAAGGACGCCACTGAAGGGATTGTTATCTCATCTTCATCGTCTCCATCGATCTTTGTGGCTGTCCTGAACAGACCTGAAATGGTGGTCCATGGAATCACGTTTGTCACATCCTTAACCGGCTTTATAATCATTCGAGTGGGTTTAGGACCCACAGATTCCACAAAATCTATAATTTCCTCAAAGCTTTCGAACATGTCTTGATCTTGGTCGTCGTCGTCTTCTTCATTGACAATCAACTTGGTTTCAGGGCTGCCTTTTTGTATCTCCTGTATTGGAACCTCAACGCAGGATTCTGGACTTTTATCCTTGACAATCAAATGGTACATGAGATCTAGCAGATGCAGAGGTTGTCGGGAATCATTGAAGAAATTCCTCGATTCCATTGAGATTTTCAACGGCGAATGCGCCTCGCAAAACCTCAACAACATCAAGAATACTTCATCGAAAGGTGATGACAGTTCAACCAGGTTCAAGATTTCTTTAAGAAGAACGACAGGAATCTGATTCTCGAGGAGGATTATGTCCCGAGTGAGAATATTGTCACCACTCAGACATCCACTACCTCGAAAATCATCATAGGACGAAAGGGTATGCAAAACGTGGATCAAGAACAAGCCATCAATGGCGATAATCCAAGCCAAAGTGCCTTCTTGGAGGTCCATGAACCTGCTGTAACACGCACGAATCATGGGGTCCATTTGCTTCAACTTATCAACAACAATGTGTTGAAAGTTGAGGATTTGTGAGGGGTCAAGAATCTGTTTAATGGCTGCAAGCTTGTACCTCTCCATGTGATAGAGCTCAGGCATGAGATGATGGTAAGGCCCCATGCCTACTAATTGAGGAGTGTAAGCTTGTGGGTTTTGATGGATCAAAAGTTTTGGGACTTGGAAAACACAAAGGGGTGGGAGATGATCAAAATGAATTTCAGATTCTTTCTTGAACACATTGCTTATTCTTTCTTCCCATAGCCTTGCACTAGAGGGTGATGAAGTTTTTGGACTTATTGGGTTTTTGTCTAAGGCCATTTTTTGGGTGCTTTTTCTCTTCTAATTTCTTTGCTTCAAAGGGTTTGTGAAGAAAAATTGGTGGTTTGGTTTGGCTTATATAGAGGTAGGGAGGGCTAAGCCGGGCTAGCTGGTTTAAGTCTTTATTATTATTATAATTATAATAATAATACTCCTTGCATGTCTATCTCATGAATAGTGTGCATTTCTAACAAATATAAACTCAATATAATGACATGATTAGACTATGATGACACCCATACATATATAGACATATAGTTGACAAATTGGAGAAATTAAACTTTCTTTTTCAAATTAAATGTTGTTGTATTTATAAGAAGTTAAGGGATGAGAAAATACCCAAAATAGTCACTCGACTATAGCTAAATTCACAAATTGGTCATCGACTTTCAATTTCAACCAATTAAGTCCTTAACTTTGTAATTTTGACACGATTTGGTCATCCATCTATTTGACCATTTGTTGACTGTGATCGACGATCTCCAGAAGAACCTTCAGCTCTCATCGGAGCACGTGGAGGCCTCTAGGATGACGTTGCACAGGTTCGGAAACACGTCGTCTTCTTTGCTCTGGTACGAACTCAATTACATTGAATCCAAAGGGAGGATGAAGAAAGGCGACGGGATTTGGTAGATTGCTTTCGACAGTGGATTCAAATGTAACAGTGTGGTCTGGAAATGCAACCAGAACCTTAAAAAACCGACGATGGACCATGAAATTACATATATATCCTCAAAAATCACAGTCAACAAACAGTCAAATAAACAGAGGACCAAATTGTGTTAAAATTACAAAGTTAAGGACTTAATTGGTTGAAATTGAAAATCGAGGACCAATTTGTAAATTTAGTTATAGTCGAGGAACCATTTTGGGTATTTAGTTTTTTGAAACTTTTCAATTCGCTTAGCTAGACGACAATTTTTTTTCAAAATAGTTGGAAATTTAGTTTCCAATTACAAGTTTACAACCCTATGTATGTATTTAAGAGAATTATAAGCATTATTGTACGTATTTATGAAAAGTTACACATGACTAGGGTTGATTTTATATATATGGTTTAATTTGTAAATTATTACATTTAAATAAAGCTTATTCGATGTTTGAGTAGTGATTGTAGATTTCTCTTGTAATAAAAAAAAAAATAGTTATATTAATCAGTGTTGCAAAAATCCCGCATTGGCACCAATTAATCAACGCCTAGCGCGGCGCTAGGCGCTGGCCAGCCACCTAGCGTATCACCATAATCGGTGGTTTAGGCGGTCGACGACTAGGCTGCCTAAGCGCCTCCTAGGCCTCTTAGGTGCCGACTAGGATCCCTAGGCACCGACTAGTATTAACTATTAAAGTATTAAATAGTTAATAATTATGAAGTCTTAAAAAAATAAATAATTTTTTTTAAAATAAAAAATACACAAACACCTAGACACATCCGAGCACTCGAGGGGCACGTAGCGATTTTTTCAAACATGATATTAATAAGATTGAAGCCCATCTTTTCAAAGTCATAAGATTCAACTCCCACAGCACTTCTTATACATGGTGAGTTTGTTCAATCATTATTACATGACCATGGTATACACAATTGTGTTTACCATAAATGAAAAGTATATTTTTAATATATTGAAGGTACATTTTTTAAGGTACATTATTTGAGTACTAAAAGTACATTATTTTATATATACTATAAAATATTGTACCTTCAATATACAAATAATGTACTTTTAGTATATTAAAAATGTGCTTGATATTCATGGTCCACACAATAATTTGCGAGTTTGTTGCCAATTTTTACGAACTATTACAGGCAATTTATATGGTGGACCAGGGTCCACATAGCATTGTGGACCCTGGATCAAAACGACGTCATTTGATATTTAAGTTTTTAACAGATTCTGTAACTTTCCGTTTCTCATGTTTCAACACAAAATTTTAATTTATTCTATGTACAGAATCGTTACGCTTAATGTATAGAATTTCGTAACATAATGTACAGAAACACATAACACGATATACATATAAATGCTTTCTATTTTACTTATTCTCATATCTGATTTATGTAAATAATTTATGTCATATAGGCACATAAGTGCATAATACAAGATATAAATTCGTAAAATAAGACACACAATATGTTTTGTGTTATACAACTACTAATCAATTTTATGTACAGAATCTTTACGTTTAATGTATAGAATTTCGTAACATGATATACAGAAACACATAACATGATATACATACACATACTTTACAGTTAAAAAAAAAAAAAAAAAAAAAAAAAAAAAAAAAAAAAAAAAAAAAAAAAAAAAAAAAAAAAACAACTTCGTAACATGAACTGAACAACAAACGTCTTCGTTAAAATTAAAGTTCAAAACGACGTTGTATAGGACCATTATATTGTGAACCCTAGTCCACTGTATAACGATTAACTATTACATAGATGATTGAGTCAAAATAACTTCGTAAACTTGGATATCTCCACTTATATTTTAATGTGGACTGTATAACGATTAACTATTACATAGATGATTGAGTCAAAGTAACTTCGTAAACTTGGATATCTCCACTTATATTTTAATGCATTTATAAAATGATTGATTCTTATTTAAATCATATCATATAGATGATAATCATCAATCAAGTCAACCCATACTTTGAGAATTAACTACATGCTTTTTGCCATATGCTGCATGCATGCGATATATAACTATTATTGTTAATATATATGGAATATATTAACAACAGTTGCATAGCTAGGAACAAGCGACAATACAAACTAGGTCAATATAATATATGTTTATTTTGTATCTTCCTATATATTTTATTTGATCTCAAAATGGTAAGCCTTACCAGAAATAAATAACTCATAACTACATGCTAGCTAGATAATGTGTGGTCAGAAAGGCTGCGGTTTCATGCAAGAGGGGGCTGCTTATATATATGGTATTGAATCAAATTAGTCTTTAGGAACAAATTAAGAATCAATCTTAGCTTTGGATATGAAATAATCGGACGGATCAGATCAGATCAGATCATATTTTTAAAAAAACATGATTATATTTTCATAATTATTACAAATTTTACTATGCAATTTAAAACATTAAAATCTACACATCTCAGAATTTTTCAAGAATGCACATTTAGTTGTTACAAAATATATATTTTAGTATTAACAAAGTGCACATTTAGTATTAAAAATTTGCACTTGCAAAAATGTGAAAAATGCATTGCACTTAGGTTTGAAATTTAGAGTTTATGACTTGAGTTTTTTGTTTTATTTGGTTTAAGAATACACTTTTTACAGCTTAGGGTTTAACATTTACGATTTAGATTCAACATTTCGTTTTTTCATTCAGTTTTTAAAAGTTATCCATGAATGCATAATATAATGTTCTAAGTTGCAAACTGAAGTTGACGATAATTATGAAAATGCCACCACATTTTTTTTAAAAATCTAATATGATCTGTCCGATTTTTACAGATGTAAGGCTGTGATTGATTTTTTATTTTCTCCTCGGGTGTGTTCTCATGGGATCCTAAGCGCGCGTGTGTGTGTGTGTGTGTGTGTGTATATATATATATATATTTATTTATTTATTTATTTATTGGGTTTTCATGTAAAAAGTGGAGATTAATCTCAGCCATCCATTAGGATTATATTCATTAATGTTGAGGGTTTTAGTAAAAAAAAAAAAAAAAACATGGAGTGAATTTTATAATTATTGAAATTTTTTAAAACAAGAGTTCATTTTATAATTATTGCAAATTTAAAAGTTTGGTAATGATAAATCCTAGCATTTGATTTCTTAAGATGGAGGGTGTGGATGTATTTTACACTTTTTTACATTGAGAGATGTTCTCACCTGAACTCTCCAAATATATGTATTGTGTTAACTCCGCTCCTAAAACAAGAAATTGATGTAAATCTCACTAAAAAAACTTGTGCGAAGAACTTGCTTGACCTAGAGTATATTGACAATATTCGAACTCGTGACTTTCTATTAGAAAAATAAAAAAATCCATCCACTTTTTTCTTTTTGGAACCAATGTTCAATTCATTTGACTATCCCTTTTGGGACATTATATTATGGTAATACTTTACACCAACGGCATTGTGATCCATGTCTGCCAATTTATTAATTATATAATAACATATTACGTACATAAAGATGCTAGCCGCATGATTAATTAAGATGTATACATTAATATATAATTAAGTAGAAATTAAGAACGTGAGTAAATGAAGAGGATTGGGGTATCTCTTCTGAAAATGAATTGCTTGTGCAGGTACCATATTATACAAACCTGATGTAAGCAAACTTTGTTTATAACTTTTGATATTGGACGGTAGTCTTAAATTAATATAATAATAATAATAATATTTTTTTGGGGTGTGAGGAGAGAGTGGAAAGATGGAACTCTTTAATTGGTTAAGTAAAAGTCTTACAAAGAGCATTAATATATATATATATATATATATATATATATATATATATATATATATATATATATATATATATATATATATATATATATAGATTTCGAATTCGGTGCACCCCCTTGTCAGGTGAGATCGTGAGCCCCTCTTAGGATCGTTGATTTTTGTTACGGATGGCCCAGATCTCTCACCCACGCGCTTAAAGGGAGATGGGAGATTAGGGCTAATTTTGTAATTTGACTTAGTGTTTAATTATGGGATGACTTTATTGGCGCCGGGCTTTGTGCGTGCGTATATTTTCACTCTTGGTATCCCCACTAGAAGTCATTATCGCTTCGCAGAGTAGAATCAAGTGAGCGTCTTTTCGCCGCCCGTTGTAGTGTTCGTCTCCCTTCGTAGAGGTCGTCCGGTTTTTTCGTCATGGCGGGTCTGCGCGTCCGGCGGTCTAAGCGACTCCGTAGCAACTCTTCCGGGCCGTCGCCAGGTATTCCATTCCTCGCCCTGTCGTTTTGTTAGGTATTATGTGTGCTTTTTTTTTTTTTTACGAGGTTTGCTCCGAATCGAA